TTACCCAATCTCTGAGGTTTAGCTCAGATGATCTGGTATCTCTTAGAATTTCTCTTACAGAATGCCCCCTTGGCTTCTGTTGATTAGAAGTTCTATTGCACAAACCCTAGTCTATCCTCTCAGTTTAGATTTGACATGTTGTACGTATATGTTTTTAGCACTGTTTACTCCCCCTTTTGCCCTTCCCCCTTAGTTTTCTTTGCTGATGTTTCTGTGGTCTGGTCAGAGTCCTGGATTCCATTGTACCCCTTCCCCTCCAAATATGTATTATAAATCCTACTATACCGTTGTTTTAATGCCATCTAGAAATGGGCTTCTTATATCAATGGGGAAATATTGCTCTAGTGCACCGGTTCTCAACCTGTGGGTCGCAACCTCTTCGGGGGTCAAACGACCTTTTCACAGGGTTTGCCTAAGACCATCAGAAAACACATACAGTATATCCGATGGTCTTAGGAACCGAGACACCGTTCCTCTATCTGTCTCTAGGCAGGTCCAACCACATGCAGATACGCCCACCTATGAGTACCCGGCATGAAGACTGTTGCCCATGATACACCAAGCTTCAAGACAAAATTTCATTGGTTTGTCATTAGAAACAAATATTTCACAATATATTACATATTGTTTTTGTGATGAATCACTATGCTTTAATTATGTTCAATTTGTAACTATGAAAATACATTCTGCCTATCAAATATTTACTGTTATGATTCATAACAGTAGCAAAATTACAGTGATGAAGTGTAATGCAAATAATTTTCTGGTTGGGGGTCACCGCAACATGAGGAGGTGTATGAAAGGGTCACGGCATTGGAAAGTTGAGAACCACTGGTCTAAAGTGTGTCTTAAATCTATCTCTTTTGAGATTGAGCAGATTAAGCAAGCAGCAGACTAACAGAGCTGGGAAGAGAGACACCATGCTTCATGAAGATCACCAAGGAACTAGGAAGCAGAAGGTAAAAAGGGACAAAACCTTCCCCTCGAGCTGACACCATCAAGGTGAACTTCTAACCTCCTAAAATGTGAGAGAATACATTTCTCTTGAAGCCAACTACTTACGAGGTGTTTGTTGGAGCAGCACTAGAGAACTAAGGTTATTTTTCAAGTGCTTTTCTTAGATGGGACACTACACATTCTACTCTGTGTGCTCAAGTATCCTTGACTAGCTTCTTTTTGTTTCAATAGATCAAAAATATGTTGACAACTAGTTGGAGGACTCTTGGACTGTGGTCCTTTTTTCTCACTTCTCTACCATCTTCTGTCACCTTTCAGTATTGTAGAGGAAAAGCCTGGTTCCAGTCTGGCACTTTTTCCCTTTGTTGCTATCTTGTTCTTTCTGTTTCACTCTGGTCAGATATTTTTTCCCTTATGTATTGGGATCAGGAGTTTTTTGTTGTTGTTTTCTTTAATCATTTTATTAGGGGCTCATACAGCTCTTATCACAATCCATACACACATCAATTGTGTAAAGCGCATTTGTACATTCATTGCCCTCATCATTTTCAAAACATTTCCTCTCCACTTAAACCCCCG